TCCTGTGAGTTGGATTTGGGGTGGAAGAGGGGTGTGGCTTGCTTCTCACAGATACCTGCCTTATCCCACTTCATTATTCCCCTGTTGACTGTCCGGTGAGAGGACACTGAAGCAGGGTTCCCTTGTCTTAATCGTTCCCTTCCCTCTGAGTGGAAGGTAATAGTAGAGGACAGCAAAAGCGGGAGTAGTACTGGAACCATTAATGTAAATCGCTGTTATGTTTGTAAGTTCTGACCTCAAGAGGGAGCAGTTCTTTCATCCTTGAAAGGGGAACATTGCTGTCTTTAATACATCCATAGACTTCAGCTGCAAACTGTTGAACTGGGCATCAAGCCATTTGTGTGTTATGCGTATGTCTAGAGCTGATGAAAAAAATAACCCAGGAAAGGAGGATGGGTATTAACCCAGAGCTTTTGAATTACTTCATCCTTAATACTTCTCTTTCAAAAATTGTGTTTTAGCTAGCGTTTGTTTGTTTGTTTGTTTGTTTAACTTGGGTAATTTAGCTTTTCTCTCAGTTTGCTAAAGTGTTTATTGAATTTTATATTTGTCCTTGGGAAATATAGAAAGCTGAATTAAAACGGTTCATATAGCTGTCAGGATGCTTACTTTGAGAAACAAAAGTTATATTTTGTTGCCTTGCATTTGAACCACAAGGTCACTGAAATAAATTCTGTGATAGAGCCCATTATATATTTTGCATTACTTCATTTACTATTTTCAGACTGTGTTTGGCATCAGGTAACTGAAGCAGGGTGACAGGTAAGACAAGGGAGAGGGCCCTCCATAAAGGGCCTTTTGTGTAGGCACCAGCAGACCTATCGTTAAGAGATTCCCCACAGTGTTTACCACTGTAAAAAGAGGGAATGTGGCTTAAGAAAAGGCACTAATGTTAGAGAGTAAATGTTTGGTTTTGTTTACCAGCAATTATGTAAAAAAGCAAAATGTGATCAGATATAAATCAATATCCCTAAGACAAAGATCAACCTGATTGCGTAAAAATAAACTCTACAAAAACAACCACTGAAAAAGAACCATCATTGTCGTAAAAGACTTCAGTTTTAAAGCTCTGGGTTTTTGTTGTTGGTGTTGTTGCATGTGTATTTATGTGTGGTATGTGTGCCTATGTGCATACATGTTTGTTTGTGTAGACTAAGTTTTTGTGCCAGTATGTGTGGAGGCCCAGAGTTGATGTTGAGTGTCTTCTTCAGTACTCTCCACTTTATTTACTTGAAGCAGAGACTCCCTAAGCTACTCTGGTTAGCCACCGTGCTTTGAGGATCTCCTGTCCACTTCCAACAGCGTGAGATTTCAAGTGTCTGCCACACTTGCCATGCCTTTACATGGCTGCTGGAGATAAAAACTCAGGTGCTCACACTTGCCCCAGAAGTGTGTGTTTTACCTAAAGCATCCCACCTCCAGCCCTTCCAAAGGTCTGTTTGCAAACACTTAAATGTAGTCAGTGGTGATGGTGTAACAGCTTTATATAGGGACAAAACAATCCAGGTGTGTACTGTCTCGGGATCTCTTGATAGAAGGCGGGTTAGGGGTGTTTAGATCTTAAGTTAGAGATTATAAAATGAAACCTCTAGATTTTCTAACGTGGAAAGGTTTTGCGGTATTTGTAATGTCCAGTATGATAGCTATTGTGAAAATATGAGTTATAAGTATTTTAAGTGTGACTTAAGACTTATAAGTATTTTAAGTGTGGTGAATTTGTTATTTTTTAAAATTATATTGAGAAATTTGGCTTCTGATTTTGTAAATTTTTTTGAGTATTTTCAGTTTATATTTGGCAGTGGGAACTGACATAATACACAGTCACAAATACTGGATTCAGTAAATAAGACAGCTAAAGTTAAAGGAAAAAATTAAGGATATTTGTTCAAAAGTGGTTTGAAACTTTATAGGACATTGTGTAATTTTAGGGAACATAGAAGCAGATTTTGCAGTAGGTAAGAGATTCTAACCTTCTTAGCTATAGCAGGGGATAACTGGAAGTTCATAACCAGGGTCGAGTGGAAGTAGGAAGATGGAAAAATGACAACAGCTAAGGAGGGTTCATCAGACCCAGATGATCAGACTTAATGGGCAACTGTGGAGGATGAACCTGAAGAGATCTGGAGGTGGTTGATCCGCAGGCTCTGAGTGAGGGTCCGGTGGAGGGTCCTGGTAGGCTGTTAAACTGACTCAGCAGAGTTCTAAAACTGGATTTCAGAAGAGCACATACAAGACTTTTTTTTTTTTTTTTGGTGGAACTGACCTATTTATAAAGAATCTATACATTCTGAAGATTGTAAATCATTTTAACCTGAACGTTCAGAGACATTATTATTGGATTAAGCATTGTTGCTAGAATCTCTTCTTAATGTAAATAAATGTAGAAAGATGGCTAGTTAGAAAGGAGGGTGGATCTTAAGGAAAGATCATTCTTGTCTCCCGAGAGATTACTTCTAATAAGGTGTGTCTGATTTCAAAGCATTAGCAAGTTGGTATTGTTAGAATCTTTCTTTTCAGTGGAACATTTTAAGTAAGATTTTTATAACATGAGCTGTTTCTTCTGCCATTCTTGCTTTTGATAACTTGGCATTTACTTGCTGTTATTTTTACAGTTTATATGTTTATAACATTTACAGTTAGTTTTATCAACCACCCTATTATAATTTATAGACCTTTTAGTGTATGTTCATTATCTAGGGTTCTTATTTTGATGAGACTGCTATGGTTTAAATCCTGTGGTACTGAATGATAGCTTCATATGTGTGCAGTTCAAACAGATTTGCTTTTTCTGCATGAATTATTGAATAACTCTTTGATATTCCATTCACAGTGATTTAACCTGGAACAAAAATGGGAACTGGTTCATGGGCATGCATACAATTTGTGCAGAGTAATCTTGTAGGATGTTCATCCTTCCTCCAGGATTTGTGCTGATGGAGGAGCTGATGTGTGAGAGTCATCTCTTATTGCTGGTACAGGAAAAAGAGAGCTTATAACTTAATCTACCAGGAAGACAGATTTCTGTCCTTGGTCCTTTGGATGAAGGAAGTCATGTCTCTCTCTGACATCAAATTTGTTTTATATTCACAGGGAGATATATGAGATAATGACCTGTAGACTATTTTGCATTGTATTTTTGGCTCCCTCTATTGGCTACTTAGGAAGGAACAGAAATAAATTTCTATTTAAAATGGTGTATTTTCTCATCCAGAAAAGCAATTGTATGTTTCAGATATGTAGGATAAAAGAATATACTGATGGGCAAAATTAGCGTTATTTTAAAGAATTTTAGCATTTTCCACTCCACCAGAAATATGGGCCACTGCCAATTTTCCTTCAGACAATATGTAGTTAAACGTTTGAATTTTTACTCAGTCTGGTATGTGGTAAGTGCTATCTCATTGTGATTTAAATTTTCACTTCACTAGTTGTCTGTGAACCTAAAAATCTTTGAGTATGTTCAAAGGCCTTTTTTTTTTTGCATTGCCTTGTGAGTTGTCTGACCTTGCCTTTTGCCCGTTTGTTTATACTTGAGTTTTAATAGTCTCCCCTCTTTTAGTTCTTGAGATGATTGGGATACAGAGGTAAAGATGCATCTGTTTCTGTCCATGCACATGCCCTGGTGCCTTTATGAAGTACCCACCTTAACTCCTTGTCTAACCTTTCAACATATATATATATATATATATATATATATATATATATATATATATATATATTTATTTATTTATTTATTCATTCATTTATACTGTGTGTGGGGATGTCCCAGAGATGGGCTGACCAGGCTTGGAGACAAGCACCTGAACCTGCTGAGCTCCACATCTCATTTTTCCTTATGGAAAGTTTACAACAGTTACAAGAATTAGGGTAGTACTGGTTTAAATTGCGTCAGAATGTGTCCATTCAATTTAGTTGCTTGCCATGTTCTAGGCCCTTCATTAGGTATTGAGGGGAATTTGTAGGGTGAAGCAAACACCTATCTTGGAGGTTATAGTTGCATGGGAGAGAGTGAAAACATGATAGCAATTCTTAAAGTATTCCAGATGAAGTGACGATGTAAAATTTTGTAGTTAATAGCAGTTGGTCTTGCTTATCAGGAAATATTAGGACAGCTTTAACTGTTTCGGAATTGGCTTTGGAAGAATTCGACACTGTTTATTGCTATTTAAGCTAAACTAACTGATCTGTTGGTTACAAATAACTAAATTCTAGTGTAGTCACACTGTCAGTTAAGTTCAAATAGTGGGAGAACCAGGAAACCTGCGTTTTTCTAGTTTTAGTTTCAGAACTAATCTTTCTTGGAGAGTGGTGGTTTTAGTTTTGGATAAACACAAGACTTTGCTACTTTTGCTTTCTTATTTATTCTGAAACTTGGAGCAAGTACTTCACAGGATTTCCTGTTAAAAATCAAAGATGTTTAGATAGGGTGGTGTGTTACTACTTCAGTATATGTAATCTTTGCTAACAGGAGAATAAATGAGAAGATTAACAAACAGATTTCAGACTAAGGCCTGAAGTTAACCGTAGCTGATAATAAACCTCTCTTTGTTTATATATTTCATGTATCTGAGTGCTTTGCATGTTTGCACATCAGAAGAGGCCATCAGATCCCATTATAGGTAGTTGTAAGCCATCACGTAGTTTCTGGGAATTGAACTCAGGGCTTCTAAAAGATCAGAGCAGTCAGTGCTCTTAACCACTGAGCCAAGTTTCCAGCCCCTGTTGCTGAGGATAAACAAATAAAACTTAACATTTGATCTAAAATTATGCATTTTTGCATTATACCGTATTGACCCTGTCTTTATGACCTACAGAGAATTTTTCCTGTCTGGATTTATGGTATTCTTTCTAGACATTAGTTAATAAAACTAACAACAATAATGCCAATGTCTTTCTAAATTAGTGCATCTTATGTCTGCCTATGACCGCCTCCTGAAGTTGTTGGCATTACTCTTAGTGGGAAAATTTAACAGTATTTTGCTTTTTTTTTTTTTCCTTAGACACTGGCCAGAAGAAGACCTTAGACAAGAAAGATGGGAGAAGGATGTCCTTTCAGAAGCCTAAAGGAACTATTGAATATACTGTAAGTTACTTTGGCAAAAACAATTTGTTTGTAACAGTTTTTTTAGAGGCATTTTCTATTTGATGAGTCAAGTATTGTTAATTGCCTCATTTTAAAAATCTGACTTCTTTCATATAACTTTCCTTAATAATAATTCTAAAATTCTATGCATTTTATGATTTGTTTTCCTTATTGTGTTCTACAAAGGACAGTTATTCTGGCAAATTAAATTTAATATTGATGATAATTTAGACTCAGAATTCCTGTGCTGCAATAATTTTATTAGATTAGGCTTTCGGAAAATATTTACCTTTTTAAGAATGCTCCTAATTGATTTCCCAGCAGTGCAAATGTTAGTGCTGATGACAGATGGGACCCTTACAAGCTAATTTCAGCACTGAGTTTCCACAGCTGTGAAAGCAGTTTTTTGTTTTGTTTTGTTTTTGTTTTTGTTTCCTTGAAACAACCCTTAGATATCTGTGATGGTGTTTCTCATTTCTGGTTACTGTGGACAGCTGAAGTGACAAATTAATTTTGGAGGATGCCATTTTAGTTACTTAGTTGAATGTGAATATGAGTTAGATGGTGCTAAACATATTGTAAAATAAATGTATTAATCCAGATTCATTTCGTTACTTTGTATTTTTCTAACATATTTTAACTGTATTCCTCAATATTATGCATATAATTGATACTTGCCATATTAAACATTTTCAAAGTGTTAGAAACTACATACGTATGTAGAATTAAATTAACTACTATCAAAATAAATGGATTTTAAAGCCATTACAGCCCTAAATTATGCATGTTTGTGAGAAAATGTGTTCAAATAGTAAAAATTTAAGTAATACAATTTAGTATATTCTTGAATGTTCACAAAAATCATAAGATTTGAGACTTAAGATATATCTTTATGCTATAAAGGTATATACGATATAGTTTTTGATACCATGATCATGAACTGTACGTTTTTATTGCTTTTGATTTTAGGAATTTGCCATTCTTAGTATATAATAAATAAGCAAAACTAAAATAACCGTTTATTGTGGAGTAAGGAGAGGCCGTTAAAAACCTGAAAAAAAATTTCTTCTCTTATGATTAATTCTTTAAAAACTCACATATTGGCCGGCAGTCATATAAAACATCTAACAGGTTGTTTTCAGATTTATTTTTTCTTTTATTCTGCATGCCAAATTATAAAAGAAAAGAATAAATTTCAAAGCTAGGTAAGATATTGTTGTTTTATACACTATTTTTTACTATAATCTATTTTTACTATAATCTATCAAATCTTTACATAACATGACTTTGTATTGGCTGCAGTATGTATTTCCACATGTTTCTCTTAAGATAAATTTGTGTATCTCAATTACTCTTTAAGGTTTTTTTTTTTTTCCTTAAAATATTATGCTTCATACTTGGTAGAGATGTGTGCAATTGTAATCCCAGTGCTCTGGAGGCTGAGGCAAGGCAGGATTGGTTGAACCCAAGAGTGCCAGGAACTTGGCCAAGCCATTCAAAAAATATAGGTTATGTAGCTTAAAATATATGCCCAGTGCTATCTTATATGCAGGTAGTATGAAGTTAATCGTCGTATTTTAGGTAGCTTATAAGCTAAAATCAGATCACACACACACACAATACAGTTTTAATTATAAAGTCACTTTAAATGGGAATTAAGGTGGGCCATAAAAATGTTAGACATACAGAATGGGAGATGGCTGGGTTGGTAAAGCACTGACCTTGCAAACATGGGGATTTTAGTTCAGATTCCTAGGACCTGTATAAAAAGCCACTATGTGCCTGTAGTCTCAGCGGAAGGTAGATCCCTGGAGACAGGAGGAGACAGGCAGATCCCTGGAGCTTGTGTCCAGCTAGTATAGTTTAAACCATGAGCGTGAGCGTCAGTGAAAGATTCCATCTCAGAATATATGCTAAAGAGTAGTTGAAGAAAACTGGCCTTGACCTCTGTCCTCTGCAATTCATGTACACATGTGTGCAGACACATGCATACACACATGTCTATAAACTCCACATGCACATTCATACCCATATACAATGTTACACTTTATCATTTTTGATCATTTTGTATGCCTTTCTACTGAAATATTTTCCATTTACTAAAACCAGTGATGTTTCATTTTTGCTGTTCTTTATTATCCATTTTACATTTTTTTTTTGTTCATTGTCAATTTCTATTAAATTCTCAAGTGACCTGCAAAATAATCAGCTTCATAATGGAAGTTTCATACCTGTGGGGCATTATATCCTTTGTTCTAATTGGGTTCTTTTCTCTAGGAACCCATTACCCTCTTCTGGCTACTTCCTTTCCTTCCTGCAGTTCCCCTTCCGTCTTCCTGCCATATGCATTCTATTTACCCTGTTTTTCCTCCATTCCTTAAGATCCCTCTATTCTCTCTAACATGTTCTTTCTAGTTTCATGACAGATTTTGTTTTTCCCTATCCACACCTTCCAGGTGCTTGCATTTTCTGCTGTCACTTCCTGCTTTGGGAATTGTAGCTCTTCTCATCCACCCGTCTTTCTGTTTCTATCACATGTGTAATAAGGGCACACGAGGCAAGTTATTTCAGGTCCATGAAGCTAGAGTCTCAGGCTGTTGTGAGCTGACTTGGGACTGAGAATCAGGTGCAGGTTCTCCACAAGAGCAGCCCAACCCATGCTCCTGACCCTGAGCCATCTCTCAACCTCAGTCCTTCTAATGCCTTTGTAGAGTTGAACTTGCTTTTAATTCTTGCTTTGTATTTGGAAACTGCTTGGGTTGTTGGCCAGTATGGACTGTAGTCAAGCACGAATTTTAACGTGGGCTGAGGTCATTGCAGAATATGATATTTCTTGAGGGTTCTCTCAAAAATTATGATTTATGAATCAAGTATAAGACTGTTTTCAAGATGTATTAATATTGAATAATCATTCTTATAATTTAATTTTTCTGTTTTAACTGATGAAAGTAATTTGTTTTTCATTTTAAACAGGTTGAATCAAGGGATTCTTTGAATAGCATAGCCCTGAAATTTGATACCACACCCAATGAACTTGTTCAGTTAAATAAGTTATTCTCCCGTGCAGTCGTGACTGGACAGGTATTGTTATTTAAATGTGTTGATGTTTAAAATTATTAGGTAAGATATATCCATTTCTACATAGTTAACAATGTCAAAAATATGAGAACATTTTTTTTGTGTTCCTGGAACAAATTCTGTTGGCCAAATAAAAGTATGTGTTACATTTATTAATTTCCTTCTTATAACAATTGAAAATCATATTAGTTATGTTTCAAATATAGTCTTTTTTAAGACTTATTTATTTATTCATTTATTATGAATACAATGTTCTGTCTACATGCACACCTCTAGGCCAGAAGAGGGCACCAGATCTTGTTATAGATGGTTGTGAGCCACTATGTAGTTGCTGGGAATTGAACTCAGGACCTCTGGAAGAGCAGTTAGTGCTCTTAACATCTGAGCCATCCCTCCAGCTTCCTCAAATACAGTCTTAAAGAATTTTTTAAAACACTTAAAGTAGGTCTAGTATTTTTAAAAGTAAGCTATCCTTCCAACTTAGACTTGCTTTCTAGATACAAGTTGTTAACAAATTGAATGTTGCAGAAATACCTAGCCTTATCAGGGGATTTTGTTTGGGTCTTTGAGCTTGTCTGTGACCCTTAGAAAATGTTCTATCTAAGTAGACAACTTTTACAACTTTCCTTGTCTGTAATGATGCACACATAGTATTGATACAGTTCTGTAAGTAGCCACACAGTAAGGTTTCTTGTGTTGCTACTCTCTTGCTAATGTTAATAACACTGCTGTAGTGAGTACTTATATGTATCTATTTTATGTATACTCCATAGCATAAATCCTATATGTAAAATTATCTGGTCAAGGAAAATATGTACAGTTAATTTCTCTAATTATTGCCAAGTTGCCTTTAAGATGAGCAATAATTTAGTACTGTAATATAGTAATATAATAACTGAGAGTTTTTATTTCTGTACTATGTCAACATCTTATTTTAATAATTATTTCTAAATTAATTTGTTAACTTAATTTTAAAGTGTTTTTTTTAATTTTCTATGCTTCCTATGATATATAATATACTGATCTCTTATCTGAATTCTTTTTATTGCAGCACTGTCTAATAATGCTTTTTTTTTTTTTTTTGAACATTATTTGGCTACTAGTGTTTGATTTTTTGAAGCTGTGTGGATGTTTTCTTCCAGGTTTTATACGTTCCTGATCCTGAGTATGTCTCCAGTGTTGAGAGTTCCCCATCTCTAAGCCCAGTAAGTCCTCTGTCACCAACGTCATCTGAAGCTGAGTTTGATAAAGCCACGGTGAGTACCTTTCCAGTTCCTGCTGTACAAATAACAGTGTGCCTGGTCACTATTGTGGGTGTTTTCATTCTGCTTGACTGTTTCATTTTATTTTGTTAAAGTGCTTACCTTGGATTGATACACCTTTGTCAGTAATGGTCTAGGAAATTCATCATTTCCATCTGATAACTATGACATCTAATTTTTTTATGGATTATACTTAAGAAACATGAGATAAAATCAAGTTCTGTTTAAATATTTTCTGGAATCTGTATTTGTGTGTTGGGGGTGCACGTACCCACTGTATTGTAGTACTTGGAACTCTTTAAATTGAGTTTATTTTTTGGTGCACTGACTTTGAAGAATAAGAATTTGTCATCCTAACTATTCCTCTCAGGATTGATATAGTAGGTCAATTCAGAATTTATAAGGAAAGAATATTCTATGTAAGCTAGATTTATAAATGAGTTTTAAGAAATCAAGTTGCAGCCAAGCTTGCAGAACTCAGGGAGGCAGAGGCAGGTGCATCTCTGTGAGTTCAAGACCAGCCCAGTCTACAAAGTGAGTCCAGGATAGCAAAGTCTACACAGAAAAGCCCTGTATCCAAAACAAAACAAACAACAACAATAAAAACCATCAAGTTGCATTTAAAAATTTAAGTCTCTAACAAACTATGGGCAGGTGGCAATAGTGGGGAACTCCCCCTTTCATTGTACTAGGGGAAGGGGATGAGGGGAAAAGAGAGGGAGGGTGGGATGGAGGAATTGAGGGAAGGGGCTTCAATTGGGATATATAATGAATAAATTGTGAAGAAGAAAAAAATTAAAATTAAAGAAAAATTTAAGTCCAAAAAGAATTTTCTGTGTAGAAACTAAAACTGACCACAATTTCCATTTGTAATTCTTATTGGTTGCTTATTAAAGGATCTTCCTCATTAGGTGCCTTAGAGTCTTGGGAAGCTGTTTGATATTGCTCTATTTACCTTAGAAGACACCTTTTTTATTTTCTACCCCACTTTGCATTCAGAATTTGTTTCACATATAACTGATAACCAAACACAAATTATATATTAATTTGCCTCACAATTATTTAAGCTCTAGACCTTCTTAAATAAAGACATGGAGACTTATTAACATTTAAAAGCTTAGGTCTTACCTGGGCAGACTCTAAGCTGAGCTCATCTAACTTCATCCCTGACTATCTTAGGCCATGACCCGCCATGTGGCAGGTTCTTTACCTCCCTCTCTGCTATGGTCGATCTGTCCCTTGCCGTGTGATTCTGGTGAAACCTTCTGCTTTCCCTTTCCTGCTCAGTTCTTTTTTTTTTTTTTTTTTTCAGCCAGTAGGCAAGTGAGGAGGATGTTTACAAAATATGAGGCCAGTGATGGGCCATAAGAATAACAATAACAAGATCCAGATATACAGTCCAATATCAACAGCTACATACACAGAGACCCACCTTTACACAGTATAACCCAACACTCCAGTATTTCACTTTTTGTCTCTTAAGTTTGGTATTCTAGTTCCCCCTACCCTGGTGTGTGTGTGTATTGTAAATTGTCACATTGATGATTATTTTCCCCTCAGTCCAAGGACTTTTTACTGTATGAGAGCAGTGGGGTGTTTTTTGGGCTTCTTGTCTTTATAAATATGGAAACAGTATTTTAGTGTGCAGCCACATAGAAATATGTAGAGAGGTTGAGTACCCTTTACCAGAAATGATCGAACCACAGTGTTTCGGATATTAGGAATATCTGCATATGTATGGTGCATGCGTGTGTGTCTGTTGGTGTATGTGCATGCATGTATATTAAGAGATGGTGGAAAAGAGAAAGGAATGGATAAAGGGAGAGAGATGGAAACCTTGGGACTAGAAGTAATCGTAGATACACAGTTCTATGCCCTTCATGCACACTGTACACTCTGAGAGCGGCCTGTCACTCAAGGTCAGGTGTGGACTTGCTGCCTGGGCTCTCGCTGTTGAGAGCGTTTTGGATTCTGAGCGTTTCAGATTCTGAGGTTGAGAGTGCTCAATCTGCATTGAATGTATCTTATGGATAAGAGTGGGGTCAGAGGCTAGGGGTGGGTATTGCTGACGAATAACACAGCAGTAACTTGGGGAACATTTGGACTTTGGGCAGGGATGTGCCAAGTTTGATACAGAAGGAGAAGTAACAAAGGAGAATATAGTTGGAGGTGGATTTGGATTGGGCTTCTAGCCCTAATGTAGAATTAGATAGAATAAATTGCAACACCTTTGACGACTAGAAACCTGTGGAATTCCTGTCAGGCAACATCTGTCTACCTCCTGGCTTTACTTGAGAGCTTAAAATAAAAAGCCAAGAACAGAACAAAACAAAAAGCAAGCAGTTCCCTCCTGTGCTGAAATAGTTGTCTGTACTTTGCCATGTGGGTGAAAGATGGGAGAAGAACAGAGCCCTGTGAGTGACCTCTTAACCCTAGTGATTCCACTGTTGTCAGAAATGGTCAGAAGGTATCCTTTCCTCTGGCTAGTCAAGAAACAGAAGAGCTCAGGAAGCGTTCTCCACCTGGACAGTCGTTGCCTTCTTCCCAAGAGACTGCATACCATAGTTAGAACATTATTTTGAATAGTGATTTTATAAAAGGTAGTTTATTATCTTTTGCCTGAAATTTAATTTATTATCAAACTAAGATAATTTTGCTGCGTATCTTTTTGTATATCTCAGGTAATTATATTTTTGCATTATAAGTACTTTTGCCTCATATGCTGTTATATTTGCAATAATATATATTCTTAGAAGACAGTATTATCTTTAATCTTTACATATGATTAAATATGGTGCTTGCTAGCATCACATTAAATGTCTGTTAGTATTTCTACTGTGTTTCAATTTATTGCAGAAATTGTCAGTCACTGTTTGCAGTGAACCTTGATTGGCTTCCAGAATGTTGAGCTTCTGCAGTACCTTATGTAGGAGGCTAAACTCTTATATTTACAACTTTGCTATCGTACAATTTTTCATTTATATTTTTAAGTAATTTACTTCAGATAGAAATACTATCTTTGAAAATTTAAACTTCCATTTTATTCATGTGATGAAAAACCATAAGGAACTATAGAGTAGAAGGGTGAAAGCAGCTACAATTTACTATGTTAGGTACGATTATATTTATTTATTCAGTTGTTGTTTAAAACATCCCACAAATCCCCAGCTATTCTTGAAACTACGGTGTTTTCTGATTCTCCCGTTTCCACCCTCCCATGCTGCCCTGTGCCCAGTCCTGGTATTGCAGGTGTGTGCCACTGTGCCTGGTTTTATGGCTACTGGAGATTGAGCTCAGGGTTTTATGCATTCTAGGCCAGCACTCTACAATTTAACTGTATGTCCAAAATCCCAAATACTTAAGAGAGTCCATTCACATTTGTTGCTAACCTCGGATTTAAGAGGGAAACACTGGCTCTGTGCATCTTTGCTTGTGTCCATTATGTTCACTGTGCATGTCTGTCTTTTTTGTTTTTAGTTTTGGGTTTTTTGAGACAGGGTTTCCCTGTGTAGCCTTCACTGTCCTGGACTCACTTTGTAGACCAGGCTGGCCTTGAATTCACAGCGATCTGCCTGACCACCTCCAGAGTGCTAGGTTACAGACGTGCACCACAGTGCCTACTGCGTGTCTTGACTACATCTTTGGGACCCTTTTTCTCTTGGTACTGGTATGTCTGGACCACTGGTGAAAGTTGAGAGGGAAGAAATGAGGCCTAACTGAGAGCTTTCTTTTCCTAACTCCTTCTACATAAAGTCAACATGAAGCGGCCCCACCCTTCTTCGGCTCATCTGTCTATCTTTTCCTTAGAGCCTTTCTGTTCTCCCGACTGGACATCTGTTTCTCCTGACCTCTTTAGGGATAGCTTTGTTCATGAAAATCCTCTGTTGTTGGCCTTAAGACTGGTGTATGCTATTCAGACCTTTGTAAAATCTTAGTCAACACTCCTGGAGTCACTCAGTTTCTTGTTTGTAACTTTGTATTACTACTCGGTAACAGGATTTAGTTGGTGTTACTCACTGTTGTTTTTTTTTTAATAGGGATAGCAGTGTGTGTGTTACCAATACACTAGTATGTCAGTTATACAGAGGAAAGAATTATAGAGAAGATATTAATGAATTTGCATCTAAGATTACTCAATTTGGGTTCAGGACCTGTATTCTATGTTAATTATTGCTTTATACTGGAAATTGATCACTCAATTCAGTAAATAATTTCACTCAGGGAGCGACCTAACACTTATGCATTGTTAGTGGGTATGGAAACAGCTGCCAGTTCCTACCATTTCTTCTTTGGAGTTGGTCTATTGCTGTGATAAAACACTCAAGTTAGAGGAGGAATGGTTTATTTGTTTTACACTTCCAGGAAATAGTCTATTACTGAGGAAAATCAGGCCAGCCACTCCAGGCAGAAAATTGAGGCAAGAACTTTGGAGGAATGTAGCTTACCAGCTTGCTTTTTGCCTTATCCTAAGCTTGCTGTCTTCCATAGCTCATAATCTGCCTCTGTAGGGATAGTGCTGACAGCCATGGGCTGGGTTCTCGCATGTTAGTCATCAGTCTAAGTCTCCCACCAATGTGGCTATAGGTCAGTCTTATAGAGACTTTACTTCAAGGTCCTTCTTTCCAGGTGATGCTAGGTGTGTCAGGTTATGAGTAAACATTAACCAGGACAGAGTTCTACATTTAACATTCTTTAAGAACCAGGTTTTTGTTTGGTGCTCCTTTGGTTTCTCTTTTGCACTGTAAGTATGCAGTATAATAAGGCTATTGAAGGTTAAAACTATATGGTGAAACTCAAAGAGAAAATGATTAAATAATAATGTGGGGAGATGGGTTAATATTGAATGATACTCTCCTAACGATTGAATATACAGGTAGTTATTTCCTTAACGTAAAATACTTCATAGTATAGTCAGTGTAAAAGATAGCAGTAGTAGAACATTTGGATAGCTAGAATTTGAATAAGTGCAGTATACTATGGACAAAATAGCTTTA